GGAAAATAGCTGCATCTCTCCTAAAGTAAATTCTAAATCCCGAATCGGAGTTAACCCCACCTGTCCAAGGGTATTTGGCACACGGCAGAGGAATCTCAAAGAGCAGCAGCAGCAGTCGCATCCAGGAGGAGAACTACAAACAGACAGACATACTGACAACAACATCGCCGTAGAACAACCATGGCTATAGACGGGAACAAACCAACAAACCGGCGAACAACAAACCGACGAGACGAACGGAGAGACCGAGCTGAGCTGAGCTGCAGGAATTACGCAAATCTCGTTTGTTGAATGTGTTTTTCAGTTAGGTGAAGATGCGCCAATATGGGATGAGCCAGCAGGCAGGCAGGCAGCAGGAGGATACGGGGAATTTCGGGGGAGACATAAATCTGCTTTAGCATTAGGACCCCAATGCTGCTGGCTGGTTTTGTGCATAACGACGACACGATGTTGCTGCCATTGCTTTTCTTTCATTTTGTCGCCGTTTTGTCTGTGACATTGCAGGCTGCTGCCTGAGTGCTTTCCCTCTCTGGCCTTCTCCATCTCAGCCCATTTCCCAGTCCCCCAGAATATATCTCTCTCTTGTTTTAGCCCCGTTTGTTTGCTTTTTCCAGCTTCTATTTTTATTATTATTATTTTTTTTTTATTTATATTTTTTCTCTTTTTTGCTTACTGCTTTTGGCGTGCCCTGAGCTTAAGACTCATAATGCCGTTATAAACACAAACGAATGTAGCTGCGTTGCTGTTTTGGTGACTGTGTGCATTGTGCACTTGAAAAAATATATTTAAAACAAACTGGAAAATTGGTAGAATATCTTAAAAACTAAATTTGTAAACCAACAAAACTTGATTAATATAATAAAACATTTTAATTAAGTCAGGAATATGCAGGTACCCTAAGATTACAATTTCAGTATATTAAATTTTCTCTCAGGAATATTTCTGGAAATGTTTTCTGGTTATTAGCATGGAAAACTCTCAGAATAACTACCTTAAAAATGCAAAAGCAAACACATACATTAGTGTATTGTTTTTTTGACCTTTTTTGTATTATTTTTCCGACTGCACTGGCTGTTGTTTTTTGTTGTCAAAGGTCAGCGCACGCTTAAGCCAAGCATCGCAATTATACGCACAATGCAATTGGAGAGACTGCACACATATATAGACACACACACACACAACACAGTCACTCAGGGAATTAAGTATACGACCCGTGGATGGAAAAACCTTTTGGGAGCAGATGCCGAGCATCATTTTCACCATCTGACCTGACCCCCATTGCCAACGACTTGGATTTGTTTTTTTATTCTCCATTTTCTGCAGTATGTCTTGCTTTTATTCCACTGCAAGGGCAATAAGCTGGCGTTTCTTCTTAGCCGCCTTTCCATTTAAAAAGCGACAAATGAGCTTATGTAAGAAACAAGAGGAATACAACAAGAAATTCATATAAAAAGCGCATCTATTTTTAAAGAGAATACATAAGGGAACTTTCAGTTTTTATAAGTAATGAAATTATGTTTCACTTTACAAGCTAATCTTTTTTATATTACATTTATTTATAGCTCTTAAAATACCTCCCAACTCTCCCTTTGTACCAAGAAACGCCTTGCGGTCATAAACCGTGTGTTAATTATGTTAAAGCCTGGCTTTCAGGAGATTTCTGCACACGCAATAGGCCGAACTTGGGTTAGTCACGTAGTTAAAGTTTGTCAAGACGCTGATTACGTTTTAGCCAAAAGCGCGATGCTGGGATTTTACCCCGAAAAAGAAGTGTCCCCCAAGGGGTGAAAAGGAAAAGCCAGCGAGGGGTGGCCAGACATGTGTGCTATATTTTCCGGTTTACCACTTGGCGTTCTCTAATTAAGTTGCATGGCAAAAACTTCCTCTTCTTGGCTGACAAGAAAGGCGGGTGTCGGCGGGAGGGAGTAAGCTCATTAAGTGTACTTGGCCAGGATTCGATGTCCTTTGGCTACAGTGCCAGCGACAGCGGGGCCTGGCAGCAACATCAAAGTAAGCATAATTTGATTAAGACATTTTAGCCAAAGACCTAATCATCGTTAGCATCAACATAATCATCGCCCGGCACATCCGGCGTGTTCTTAATTTTTTTCTTCTCCTCCCAGCCAAGTCTGCATCGTCTCCTTTCGCTGCTGTCAGCATCAGGATCAGGCTGAGTAAAAGCTATATCGACATCGGCATCCGCATCCACATCATCCTTTGATGCCCCAGACATCATCTACGTCACTGGTTCCGCACACTGCGACTCAGGGAAATCTAATTTATTGAACTCTGTCAGAGAGTGAGTGGAGTGTGCTTGAGGGTAGAAATTGGCAAAAGAGGAAAATGAGTCCGCCCCCAAAAATGTTTGTCTGGACGCATGAAAAACCTTTTGGGACTTGAACACTTTTGTTTGCACAAGTTTTTCCGGGTTTCTGTGATTAATTGCCGGCTATTGCGGTCCCTTACATGTTTACGTTGATTTTTAGCCATAATTTAGTCGCTGAACGACTTTAGACATGCACGGGGCGTAGTTCATTAGGACGAGACTTATTGGGCGTCTCTATTAGTTTGGAACTTCAGGATTCCACTTGAAGAGGGATGGTTGCTTGAGAAGGGTCCTCACCGAAGTGTGCCAACTTTAAGGTATATTATTTTACTCCGCTCTTACCTCATCTGAAATTCCATTTACTGGCACATGCATTATTAGCTCCTTTCGCCTGTTGGAGTCTCTCTCTCCTCCTAAGTAAGCGGCCACCGACAATATGATGAACGCTCATGGTTCTTATGCATTTTTAAAATGCACTTTCCTACTTGTGTTTTATGGTAAAAGCATTGACAGCAGGAGCAAAAGTGGTGGAGCAACCAGCAACACAACAGCTTCACAGAAAGGACGAAACGAAACAAAACCGGTGACAACAATAAGGACATGTCTTGTGTTGAAAATTTCACAGACCATTGTATTAATGTCCTTGCCCATGTTCACGTATTTGTAATGCAATTTGAGGAGCAGCCTGACTGGCAAGGATGGTAGGATAGCAGGGACTGTAAAATGCAGCTGCACGTTCACTTAGCCACTGTCGACGTCACTGTCAGTCTGTCAGTTCGTCCTGTTAACGACTGTCATCTAATGCAGTCAGCACAAATGCAATTAGTTTTTGACACACACGCAGGCACACACTAGTGTCCCGAGGGCTCCTGGAGTTCATGCAAAAATCCACCCACCTTTGCCCGTTGGGTTTGAGTTGTCATAAACAGATTATCGTGTTTGGCCACTACACATTTGTTTGCAGTTGGATATGGTTGTGAATGTTTGAATAAATAATAAGTACAACTATTGAAAATATTATTGATATATCGAAATTTGGGTCTTTTGAATAAATGATTAATCAATTAATGAATGAATTATCGTCTTTAATATTTATATTATATATATTCCCTTCTTAGTTTTCCTAAGACAACTAACACACAAATGCTTTTCGAATACAAATTTATACATTTTTGACTTAGTTATGATCGATATTTGATTCGATACCATGATAAATTGGCAAACTTTAATACATCGAAATTTTGAGATTTGTTTTAAAAACCTACTAAGAAAGTATCGACTTTAAATTGAGTTATTGATGTATAAATTATAGTACAGTAATATGTTTTATTGAAAATGTGTTCTCCATTTCCAGTTCTCCATTAAAAAATATATATTACTTTATGAAAATATCGATCATCTCTTGCATTCTATATATCTTACCATCCCTAACTTGACTCCATTTTCTGGCACTTGCAATTCCCAAACGGCAACTTAAGCAGCTCGATTTCAGCCGCAAGCCCTGAGGTCAGCAAAATATTTAACATAAATTCAAAACGAATTGCGTTCAAAGTTGCCGAGGAGTTGAGAGTTCCCGAATCCCGTGTCCCGAATTCCGAATCCCAGTGTGTTCACACTTGCCAGCCATTAAGTTTATTACGCAACAACAATAAAGCGGGCCAATGCATGCAAAAGGGAAATGCCGTGTGCAGGATGTGCCAGGATGTGGATGTGGCCCCCAAAGGGATCCTTCGACCGGGCAGAAATACCATAAATAAAACATGGCAGCGGGTCGAACACGGCAGCAACAACGGCAACACCAGCAACAAAAGGCAAAAGTCAGTGTCTGCTGCTGGTCAGTGCCAAAAAAAAAAAAAAAAATGTAAAAAAAGAGAAGAAGCAGCCACAACAAAAACAAAAGGGCCAAAAGCGCCAGCTGCTCCACATGAGAGACACACTGCAGACAATGGTGATGGAGCACAAGCTGGCGTTGGCGCTGGAGCAGGAGAATCCGCTGGCGGGGATGGGCGGGCCTGGCCAGAGCAGCCTTTGCGGTTAACAATAGCACGCCCCTGGCCATAGTTCGGGTGCTTTTTGCGGTTCCTGCAGCTGCGGCCACCTTTTTCGGGGCCGCAGGATCTAGAGCTCTCCCCGGAGAATAAACTCAATTTATTATTGCCACTAGACAGACAGTCGAACGAACACACAGAGGGTGAGAAAAAAGGGAATTGGCATTTTAAAGCTTTAACAAATTAAATTAAACCAACGGAAAATTGTTGATTGCCCGACTTGGGCCGCCTTCGTTTTGGCCATAAATTGTTTGGCCTTCTTCTTATTTGCTCGACCGGCCATTTTGTCCATTTTATTTGTTCGCTTTTCCATTTTGCCATTTTATTTTATCTACAGCACTGCCAAAGCGTGTGCGGAGGCAAAAAGGCAGCAATTTTCCAATTGAATAATTGTCACTGGCAAGTTTTCACTTTTGTCGGCGGAGCTAGCCGAGCGGGAGGACATCGGAGGACCGACCGTGTCTGTGGCCATTCAATGGCTCAACAGTTTGCCAGTGTTTCCAGTGTTTGCCTTTGCCAGCTTTTTCCTGCTTGTTTCCTCTAGCTTTTCCCCCTGACCATCTCTCTCTCTTACCTCAACTCTGGGCCTGCTCTGTTTTAACAGCAATTTTCTTGTCTATTTTCAGGATGATTTGCCGGGCCAGGCTCTGCTGGATGTCGTCTTTGCCAGGCTCAATTTAATCGAGACCTCATACTTCGGCATACGCTACATAGACGAGGAGAACCAGACGGTAAGTGTGTGTTCTTGGCCAGGCACAGCTCCTTTTGGCTCCCTGTACCCCCTTCCTTCGGGCCAACATATTGGTTTTTGAAATTCATTTTCGTTTTCATTGAGATCCACTCAGGCGCGTCGTCGAGCGCTGAAAACTGAAACAAAAAAAAGAGTAGCAAGCCCCACCAGGACTGCAGGAACTCTTTGAGTCTCCTTGCCTGCGGGGCAAATTGCATAATGATTTCGCTTTCATTGGCCCCGGCTGGGTAGTGTCCTTCATTGAAATTCACTCAGGCTTTAGTGTGTGGAAAGTCCTCACCTGTTTTTGTCTCGATTATAGCTTTATTTTCCCTCATTTTACCCGAACAGCATTGGCTGGATCCTGCCTCACGGATATCCCGACAACTGAAGCCCAAATCGGATCCTTATGACTTGTACTTTGGCGTGAAGTTCTATGCCGCCGATCCTTGCAAGCTGCTGGAGGAGATAACCAGGTGAGCAATGTTGAAAATAAAATCAAATACTTTAAGAATTTAAGTTTCAAATATAAATGTCTTTTAGCTCTCCAAAATTTATTGTTTTCGCTTAACGTATCATTATTCCCAATTGAACCTGTTTAAGTTATGAATAATTTAATTTGCTAGAGACCAACTTTTGGCCTTACCATAAATTAAATTTGGCAAATTTAATTTGTTAATTGAGGCATACACACAGACGCATAATTATAATGCAATAAACAACAAATGAAGCGAAACGAAACGCACGAGTGGAGGACTCTGAACCCTGAACTCCGCCTGCCCACTCAACTAATGGATAATGCATTGGGCAATTAATGCATTTATGCTGCCCGCACATCAAGCAAAATGAATTAAAATGGCGCAAAAAAATGTTGCCAAAGGCCAGCAGCACATCCACACCGAAGGCAGTAGTAGTTGGTGTGCAAAATGTGAAATGCAAAATTGAAAATGCAATGCCAAATGTCGCAAATGGGAAAGGCAAACGTAAACGTTTATGTCCCGGTTAGCCGTGTCAAGGGAAATAAGCGGAATTGGGAGACGGGGTTCGGGTTATGACCATGGCCCTGAAAGCCATCGCATCGTCACGTCATCGCTCTCTCTCGGCTCCGCTCGATGATGCGATGCAATGGTGTCTGGGGGCGATTGTGGCATTTATCAAGCATTTGGTGTGTGCAAATATTTGCGCTTTATACGACGACACGTTCGCCATAATCATCATCGCCAGGCGATGGAGCTGGGCTCGGAGGCACTGCAAGTGGAAGTGGATTTGGACCAACCGTTGGCCAAACATCATCAAAATCCATGCCAACTGCCGCTGCACTCTGAGAAATTATTGATCTTGGATTGGAATTATTAAAATTTTTATTATAAATTCTTCAAGATTTATGATAAATATATTTTACTTTATGTATATATATGTATATATTCAGTTAAAATGAAGTTTGGTCATGCAAAAAAAATTATTTTACTACCAATTGAAATACATTTAAATTTATAAAGCTTGCTAAAGAGTTTACTTACAATTAGATAATTGGGAGACTGAAATGATGTCTCATTAGGCTCATTAGGAGTTTGAAATTATAACAAGAATTCTATATTTTTCAAGCTTCAGGGAAATGTCCTAAATTCTGGCATAGCTACAACTAAAAATCTAAACCCAGTTCAAATTCCCTTAAAATTTCTGCAAGTGTTTTCCCGATGCTGCGCTAATATTAGCGCATATAAATGCATCGAAATGCACTCGCAGCCAAGTGGAAGTGGGCGGCTGATGAGTGGCAGGGTCGGGTGAGGGCGTGGCAATGCAATTGGAGCTGCATTATTGGAAGTGCACTAAGGCCAAAGAATATCGTGTTATTTTAGCTATACAAAGTCTGCGGCATACAATAAACGGCAATTGACTTTGGACAGGACAAAGTTGAAAATTCCCATGAATAACAGGGGGGAAGAGAGAGATTTTCCAGCCAGACGACAGACGGCGATATTCAAACACACACCCCCACACACACACCCCCACTGGTACAACCAAAAAGGATTAAGCCAAACAGCCGGCAACTTGAAGTTGGGCCTGCAAATAATTGTGAAATATGATGCCAGGCCTCGTCCACCGTTTATTTGTTTCGTTTCATGATTTCGATGTTACGCCCAAAGTCAACAAGTCGTCGCCTGGTGTTTGTCCTGGCCAAACATCAAAAAGGATCAACTAATTTTATGCCCAGATTTGTTTGCCAACTTGTTAACTGCTTCCTGTCCTTGTCGTTGTAGTGTTGTTGCTATGTTATGTTGTGTTGACTAATGAAATTTGTCGTTTTCAGGTATCAACTTTTTCTCCAAGTCAAACAGGACGTTCTGCAGGGACGACTGCCAGTGGCCTTCGAGTTGGCCGCCGAGCTGGGCGCCTTTGTGGTGCAATGTGAGTAATAAAATTCTAGGGAGTTTACAAAACACAAGTCACAGAAACTTGCCCTGGAAGTGAATACAAATTGAATGTCAAGATTGGGTGTCACAGAAAACATTTATTTTGTTAATTGAAAAGCATTAAAATTTTTGGAAATATTTCTAGAGGAGAATATTAAGTTAATAAACTACAGTACATATTTTTTTAAGTTTTCATCTTACTTAAACTTTGTTACTAGGATATTTTAAATTTTTATTCTGAATTCTCAACCTTGTTAAACATTTATAGTTAAAATTTTCAAATAATTTTGTGACAATAAATCCCTTTTATATATAAAATATTTTGTTAATAACCCCAGTTTTTAACCTTTTTAATTAATCTCTTCCCAGCCGAACTGGGTGACTACGATCAGCGACGCCACTCGAAGGGCTATGTGTCCGAGTTCCGGCTGCTGCCCAACCAGAGCAATGAGCTGGAGACCCGCGTCTCGGAGCTACACCAGCAGCTCAAGGGGATGTCGCCCTCGAGCGCCGAGCTAAACTATCTGGACAAAGTCAAATGGCACGACATGTACGGCGTCGATTTGCATCCCGTTCTGGTGAGTTATAAGCCAATGTGGCGTCCACACATGACCCAAAACCACAGCCCGGGTTGGGATGGTTCACCAGACAGCAACCCGGGGCTTCGACGTTCAGTCAGCCGCATAAAAGGGGTCAGAGGGAAATGCAAAGTTTAATTTCATTTCATGGCAAATATTATAAATCATTTGCTCTCCCATTTCTAGAGTCCCCCGGGAGGGGGAGTTCGGTGTATGATTACCCCGAAAAACCCCCAGTCTCGGGTGTCTCAGAACACCCCTTCTTCTATGCTTTTGTGCTGCGTAAGTTGGCACTTCATTTGCATTTTTTATTGCCCTTTACTTTGATATCAAACCTCAATAAATCACCAGCTGTGTTTGTATACAGAGAATGTGTGGGAAGGGGGAACCCCAACCCCAACCCCAGCACGAACCCCAACTCCACATGGCTGCGGTATGTGGCATGATGTAGCCTTTCACCCCCTTTCACTGACGCGTCGCCGCCCTTGTGTTTGTTTATAGACACAAATCATTGACTATCGCGGCGCCAACTCGGTCTTTTATATGCTTTCCCGGCTTTCCCTCTTTGCCGCTTACCGGGCTTTTCCGCTTCTCTTTTTTTTTAATTTAATTAACAGCTAAAATTACATTTATTTCGGCTTGGCTTTCGGCATTTTCTGGGCCGTGTGTTAGTAGGAACGAGGTAGCCATAAAAATGCCGCCTGCTGCTAATGGGCGAAAACTTTCTTCCTTGTTAACACATTTTTTGGCAATGGCCAAAAGGAAACTTTTTCGCCTGCCCGCCGCCTTTTGTTTGCCAAAGTTTCGCGCGTTCTCATACCCATTTTTCTCTCTCTCTATTTCTCCCGCAGGGCGAGGACAGTGTGGAGTACTTCCTGGGCCTGACTCCTAGCGGGATTGTCGTCCTGCGCAACAAGACGACGGTGGCTCATTACTATTGGCCGCGCATTGCCAAAGTTTATTATAAAGGACGCTATTTTATGCTCAGGATAAGCGATAAAAATGTAAATTCTCAACGCACCCAGCGACAATGGAAGCTATGGAAGCTGGTAACTGGTAACCGACAACTGGGAACGCGTAACGACAATGGCCACTGTGACGATGTGGCTCTAGATCCAGATCCTTCGTCCCAGCCATAAATTTGTTTGCCGACAAGTGCTTTTTACAATTTGCAGTTCGTTCCGCGAGTGAATGGTCGAAAGTTAGCAGTAAAGGGTAGTAAAGCTATAAGAGAAGTCGAATGGGGATTACCTATTAAATTATTTTTCTGGAATTCTATGAAATACTTCAGGAGACAGGATTTAATATCCTAGAAATATTTTATATTGAAATAATGTTTTGCTTCCTCATTATTAATATCATTCCTTTAAGGTTTTAAAGTAATATCCGAAGTAAAATTCTATAAATATATTACACACTTATTTTTCGACTTTTAAAATTCTATAAAAATTTATTTTTTAGTCAGAAAAACTAGTCCAACAACAAAGGAATAATACTCTCTAGGGTATCACATCTTCCCCAGCTTCCCCTCATTTTTTAAGGGCTTTCAATTTCTTATTCGCGTTTTGCAGTGTCGCCAATTTTTTTGTGCGCTCCTTATGGTGACAACTTTTGACTGTCAGCGGCATCAAGTGGCGCCAGGAGCGGAGGAGGTCGCCAGAGCTGGAGCTAGAGCCTCGTTAGACAACAAGTAGCTAGCTGGTGTCTGATAGGAGATAGAAGAGGAGTCGCTCCTGCTGCCAAAACTTGCACACTTTCGGGTGTTAACGCTTTGATAATCAAAAAAGTTTCCCAGCCAGTTGACGCACACAAAAGGCGAAACTTTAACATTTTCCTTCGACTTGATTTTCCCTCGACATTATCTTGCTGTCTTTTTTTTTTTTTGGGCAGCACTTTACACTTTGTAAGCCAACTTCTGCCGAGGCATTCATTCACTCAATTTGCCTCCAGAGCAGGGAGGAGGCCAGCCTTTGTCGGCATCCCGTCCGGAGTTACCAGTTCCCATTTCCCATTCTCCTACCATCGTGACTTGACTTTTGCGCTTATCAACCATTTGCGATTACAAATCCCGCTCTTGTAGAACGAACTCAGCACCTACGGATTCGAGACGCCGCGCAAGTCCGCCTGCAAGCACCTGTGGCGCTGCTGCGTCGAGCACCATGCGTTCTTTAGGCAGGTGCGAGTGGCACCTTTGCCCAGCTCGCAGTCGCATGCCACCGATCTGTTTCAGCTGGGATCGCGTTTCAGGCACAGGTGAGTGTACAAAAAATATAGCAATAATTTTATTTACACTTTACAGAATGGAATATGTTTAAACTTAATTTTATGTTTTAAATTTTGCAAGAATTCTTAGTGAATATATTAAGTAAACAGCGGAATGTTTCAGTAAGAATTTTAAATACATTTTTCCAAGTGCAGCCTGGCCTGACCACTGCCGGAAGTCATACGCTGTGGGTGCAGTCGTGCGCCCCGCCCATCAGATGAAGTTGTAAAATCCCAAAAAAGCATAACTTCCTACACTTCGGGCCAGGGGCACTCTTGGCCGCCTCATTTACTGGCCAAGCCAAGCCCGAAACTGCAGCCAATTAAGACGTAACGAATTTCAATGGGCGGTCACTCGAGTTCATTCCCTCTTGCCCCAAAATGCACCTCATGTGATTAGCTCATTAAGGGGCAGCTCAAGTGGCTTTCGTGGCCGAAGGATAAGGATTAGGGCTGGCCAAGGGCCAAAAGAGCAGGTTCTCAGGGGGAATAGATGCGGCAGTTGCTGGGGTCTTCCAATGACTAATTAAGGTGGCGAACAGATATTACTCTTTTATAGAAGATTAATTAATAATAATGAGAACGGGCTTAAGAGTAACTACAAAATTAATAAGAGTCTTCATTTTTGCAGCCAACAATTCAATAGCTTATTTTTAATAGGTTTAATATTACATTTTACTAATTAAAATTAACTCAAAAAGTCAATTAATTACACACCTTGAATCTTAGTATTTAGAGAAAGTGAAAATTGCTTTGAAAAGTTAGTGAAACAGTCCATAAATGTCTATAATTTTACATAATTCAGGACTTAATCAAGGCCAAAGCAACCAAGCTCGCATGTCAGCTCCTCGAGTTTCCCGCAGATCCAATTAGAAGCCATCTCCCTGGCCAAACAGAAGCAGTCTCAATCCCAGGCCCAACTGCATCGTATCCGTCCAGCGGGCATAGATCAAGTTTACGCCATCGCCTGCATGGCCAACTAATTGGAAGTCCAATAAAAATGTCGGATCTGCCGGCTCGCAACATGAGGAAGTGTTAGGTGGGGATCCGGACTGAGACTGGGGACTGACTGGCAGGCCTGAAGGCCAGCGGGCAGTCGGCCAAAAAGCAACTCGAGTGCAAAGCCCACTAATGACTTTCTGCGAAATGCGGCTCTAAGCTGGAGCAGGCCCACCAAATGCAAGCAATTGTGCATGACGAATGTGGCAGGGGATTGGCCCAGGACTAGGGACAGGACCAGGCCGGCACAAGAAAGGAGACACCTCCTCCCGATGCTCCTGGTGCTCCATGTTTATGACTGACATTTGCGGTGACTGCGGCTGACCATTTAGTTGCTGCGGTAAACTTTCTTGCTCCCAGCTTGGCCAAATGGAGTTCACGTGGCCAACCGTAACTCAGTGAAACTATTAACTTGGCCTAGGGGAGGGAAAGGCCCCGGCATTTCTATTCCTGCCGCTGCTCTGCTTATGTCAGTCGAAAAAAAAAATAGTTTTTTAGGGGCGTCGGCTCATTTTATGACCGGGAGCCCAAGTTCAGAACGTTTTTAATTTGTGAAACAAATGAAAGTTTGCCCGGTTTTTATTTTATTCCGCCAGTGTTTTACAACCTTTTTATGGTTCACTGTTCATTATTAGCCTAGCGTCTTCTATGATTCCTTCTCTCGCTGTTCGCTTTCCTCTCCGTTTTTTCGTTTTTCTTGTATTTTCCTTTTTATTTTTCTTTTCCACATTTCCCCACTTTGGTTGTTAATATTTTTGGACGCCTTTATGCCTACTTTTATGTTGCCCACTCGCATGTGTCTGCCCGCCCCCCGCCACCAACCGCCCCCCCAGTCGTCCGGACAAGTCCACGGAGAAGGATGCACTGGCCGCCGGACGCTCCCCGCCCGCCTTCACCCGCACGCCCTCCAAGCGCCAGCCCAGGCGCGTGATTGATGACTTTTTTAACAGCAACGGCAACGGAATCGGGAATGGGAATGGGAACGGGAATGTAGGCGGCGGAACCGCCAACGGAGGAGCAGCAGGTGGAGGAGGCATCCACATGGGCAACAGGCCGCTGCCGCAGCCCGGACTGGGCACCATCTCCAAGTGAGTACTCCAAATGCCCATCATTTGTTTTCATTCCGTGCACAAAAGTTTTGATTTACCCATCCGTCGCCCATGTGTGTATGTACAAGAGCGTAGACGCCTCCCTTCCTTGTATACCCTAGTAGGTCTTGAGGGGTGTTTACATTTTTACTTGGCATAAGTTATTCTTGGGAGCCTTTTTTTAAAAGTTATATGGTTTTATTATAAATGGTCAAAAACAATTGAAAGGATATCTGAACAATTCTAATTTAAAAATACAATAAATTTTTCCTAATAATTTAATGAAACATTTAACTAACAATGCTTTATTAATTTATAATCATATTTGACTAAGTTCGATATATCAAACAGAATATCGATTTATCGTATGTGTATCGATTTACATATCGAACTTTGCGTCAATATCTATAAAATAATCACATCGATATTTTCTAACATCCATTTTAAGTAAAAAACTGGCAAATGAAAGTTTGCCCATAACTTAAAGTTGAATATAAATATATTTATTTTTTAAATTGATCATTAAAATATTTTAAATTTAAAAAATATCTTGGAACAATCTGATTTAGCAAGTTAATTTCCATGACCAATAACTTCAAAAGTATAAAGGGTATAACATATACGACTTTCCAAAGCCAGCTTCCTAACTTCTTCCTTTTTTTTTCATATGCTTCACCCATTTATATATACGGCAGCTGCTTCCTTTGACGTAGTTGTCCTTTTTGGGCCACTTTCTCCTTTTTTTTTGCGCTTTGGCTTGTCCGCCAGTTGCTTTTTAGTAATCATTTTTGGGAGCTGGCGCGCCGGAAGAGCTCTCATGTGGCTCGTTGGAGGGCTTTCCTTTGATCTGTTTTTAATTTTCAAACATATTTTTGGGATGCTATTGCTATTTGAGTTGAATCGCCGGGTTCAATTTGAAAGGAATGCAGTCCGAAGCACTTCATCATTCCCCGCGCCAGGGCGATCCGGTCCGTTTGCGTTTGACAGGACAAGAGCTCCTCCTTAGCTGGCATTGTCCTGGCTCAAGTGCCCTCGGGTTGCTGTTTCGAATTCGTGTTCAAAATCCATTTAGTTGCCATTTCGAAGGCAGTTACATTGTCTAGACGCAACATTTATTAAATGTTTTATGGTTGCGAACATCAAATTATATAGACAAATAAAAAGTCAGCCATTAGTTGTTTGGTCGGCGGAAATGCCGAAATGTTGTGGAAATGCTCCTTGAGGAGAAAAGTTGAGTCATGCAAGGAGATTTATAGCTGCTAGCTCCGAGTTTCTAGGGGTGTGTGAGTGCTGCCAGGGAGACGATCCTAAGAAGCACACTCGAATTAGACAATTACCAGGGACAATTTCCAGCTGATGGCTGTCGGTGTAAGTGTTGCCCACCATCCGTGCATAAATTACACGCTCAGGCGAGGCTCTAAATAAGGTAATAGAAGCCACAGCCAATCCCGCGTAATCGCTGGATTTCTAGGCGGATCGCGATCGGGTTCTGGTTTGGGTTTGGGATCGGGATGAGCAAATAGCCCGCGTCATTTATCATTTGCAAACAAAGAGAAGCCAGCCCAAACATCAGGCAGCCGGACAGGCCAATCAAGCGGCCCCCACACCGCAGCTTCCAGATCCACAGATGCCCAGATCACAGATCACAGCTCGCAGCAGCAGCAGCAGCAGCAGCATCAGCATCATCCCAGGCGCGATCAGACGAGCGGGAGCATAAATCACTAGGCACGCCTGGGCACGTTCTGGATGTGGAGTCGGTGCTGGACAGAGACTCAGAGCTGGAGCGACGACTCCTGAGAGTACGAAATGATTGCCCGCTGATTGCCAGTGCGGCAATTACTCAATTTTACACACGCGCATTATTTGTCTGTGTCGATCTGGGATCGCTCCGCTCCGCCTCGGACAGCCTAAATGGCCTCCGATGCCGCGGACTTTAATCAACGTTTATGTTAAACAATTTAAATTTATGGCAAAATAATGCGAGACTGATTCGCTGATCTCCCTCTCTATCTGTCTCTAGCAACTACGACAGCCCCTACCGCTCCACCTACAGCATTCCCACCAGCCTGGGAATCCGGCCCTGCCACCAGCAGCAGCAGCAGCAGCAGAACAACAACTCCAGCAGCTACAACAACAACAGCGGAAGCAACCTCCAGACCCCCGACTCGCCCAGGAGCACGAGAAGCGCCCCCTGGCCCCGGTCCCAGCAGAGATCCCTCTTCGGCCACAACCCGTCGAGTCCGCGCTCCGTGAGATCGGTCAGCACGGCGGGCGGCGGACTGCACCATCACCACAGTCACCACAGCCATGGCCATGGCACTAGCCATCATCCGCACCAGCATCATCATCATCAGTCCTCCTCCTCGGCGGCGGCCAATGGCTCCTCGTCGCACCACCATCGCCAGCAGCGGGCCAGCTCCTCGTCCGCGTCGCACCAGCAGCAGCGGTATCGCTCCAGCTCCGTAGAGAGTCACTCCTCCAATGACTCGAGATCGACAAGAAGGTGAGATTACAGTCATATATTACTTTACCTTAGCAACAAATAAAAGAAAACTTAGCTTAGCTTAACAAATAAAATGCAATGTTTAAGACAGACTTAATAATAAAATAAAGTAGAAATACATATTTCTCTATTATCTCTCACATAAAACAATTCATTACCTTCTGTGAGCTTAGAAAATTATATAAGAATTAACTAGTAAGCAAACATTTAACGTCAAACCAATAGTATTATTTTTATTGATAGTCCATAGTTACATCAGAGGGTCAAACTCCGATTAAAGTCCAACACGAAACTATCTTGGGAATACTGGAAAGCAGATAAAAATTACGCGTGTGCCTTTTTTATCAAAATTGATGGATTAAAGAATTTACAAAAGAGCATTCACCACACATCAACTGTTAAATAGTTTTGATAGGGCGCCTTGGGGGAGTTAAGATAGAGTCAAACAGTCTACTAGATGCGACTTTTTAAGACCCTCTAATTCGACATCCTCTTTTAAATGCTGAAATGAAATTTCTAAATTATCTTATCAAAGGAGATTTAATTTTTGATGAATATGGAAATTCCCAATTTTACTGCGTTTCAAATTGAGTCATGAATCTTATCAGGAAATATCTTTATAAATTCCCATAGTGCCCTCAAAATTAGCATATTTGTGTTATCTGAAACGATATAAGATAGCCAAGATGTCAAATATTAAGACATATCAATAAATATTTAATATATAGAAAATCTTATCGAAAATTATGTTTGTTCTTGAGAATTCTCAAGGTTAAGCAAATTATACGTCATGCTATATTTTTATATGCTTTAGATAATATCTTCTACTTAAATATTATAATATAATACTTACTAATTCATTTGGAATTTCTCCTTAAGTTGTATTTTTGCTAATCATAATTTCTCGAAATATTTTTTCAGACACAAGCACCGTCATCGTCGCACCTCCGACAATGAAAGTGAGCTCTCCAGAGGATCGGGGCGCTCTGGCAGATCAGGACGTTCGCATCATCGCAAACACCGAAGATCGAACAGGCATCGACGCGACTCCGCTGGAGGTTCCGACCATGACAGCACCCGGGGACGCAGTTATTCCGGCCATCGCAGCTCCTCGATGCGCAGCGGCAGTGCCGAGCTGATTGACTCCACTTCCCAGTGGCGGGAAGTGCAGCGTCGCCAGGCGGAAGCCAGCCTGGGACAGAGCTCTGTCCAGCAGGCGGCGGTATCCAAGAGCAGCATGGTGGCCCGTAGCCTGCATAGTAACGATAGCCACTCGGACACGCACTCGCACCACAAGTCGCGAAGACATCGCAAGAATAAGTGAGTTTCATGGAAATATTAAAGAGTTATAATTAAATAAAAATTATTATTAAATATAACATTAATTTTAGTCATTAGGTAAAGCAAGTAAACTAAAATTTAACTTTGTAATTAATGAAATTTTCACAGATCTCCTTCGGAGTCTCGCAGTCGCATGTGGAACAGCGAGCTAGCCAAGCATCTGCAATTCGATTTGGTGGACACCGAGGGCATGTCGGAGCAGCAGCTACGCGAGATTCCCTATACCGTGGTGGAGACCACCTCAAAACGGTCCAACTCCAACCTGAAGATCCACAAGAGCAACAGCAAGAGCAGTGTGGGGGCCAAGAGCACGGGCTCCGGCAACACCATCACCAATGGCAGTGGTTCCGGCAATACGGGACAGGCTAGGAATCGCGTGGATCGCATTAGAGGGTAAGTTACAGCTTCTATATTACATTTTATTGAACCTAAAATTACTTATTTAAAGCTACAAGCTATTAATATTAATTTAAGCAGCTTTTTAAGCCTCGAAATATTATTTCTTGTTCGCATAATATTTGTAGACTTTACTATCAAAGCTCGCATCCGCACGAAGGCAACGGTGGAGGCGTGGGCAATGGAGGTCATGCACCCAAGAATGGATCCATAAGGTCGGCCAGCACAATATCATCGAGGGAGTGTGAAAGGAATAATGGTTTAGTTAGGTAAATATATATAGTATATATTTTTCCTGAAGTTATTTACCCTGTAAGGGTAATTATTTGCTTGCAGAATGATGTCCAGCATGAGCATGGGTGACTTTATCTCACCCACTGGCTCAAATCTGAGTCCTCTGGAGAATTCCGCCCTGAGAGTTTCCCATGAGCATACAGATTCGGGCCTTGGAGCAGATCAGGATTATGCCTACTCCTCGGAAAGGTAAGTTTTCTTTACATTTTCAAATATAAAACTAACAAAAAATCTTTTAAATAGTATATAAATATTTTTAAATTAAATTTTCCCATCTATTTTCACACCTTTTTCCCCCTCACAGATCCAGCGACAGCACTCGTTATGGCACCAACAAGTCCTCGGGCGCCTCCAGCGGATCGCACCGCAAGTCGGTGGGCAGCGGAGGAGGCGGTAATGGAGGCGGCAACGGAAACGGAAACGGCGGTGGCTACAACAGCCTCATGCAGCAGACCGTGAGTAACCAGCAGCAGCAGCAGCAGCGCTCGCTGTTCGCCCAGCAGCAGCGCCAGCAGCAGCAACAGAAGAGCCACTATAAATACGCCACCTCCTCGCCATCCACGTCCACATCCACTAACCCCGCGGGCCTGGCGCCCGTGCACAATCCCCCTAGTGCCAACGCCAGTCCCAATCCCAACACTAGCGCTACTAATCCCCGCCTGCTCGCCTACACAACCTTCGAGAACAACCAGTACAAGTTCAGTTTGAACAACGCCCTGGCTAGGAGCTCGAAGGGCGTGCTGGGTGGAGCCGGTGGCAGCAGCAGCAATCTCACCGGGAATATGGTAACAAGTGGTGGTGGTGGTACAGCTCCCGGAACAGGTGGTGGTGCTTTCAGTCGTCAGCGCAGCTTCGTGGATTGGCCCAGCAATCCGGCGTCGCCCTACTACTACCAGGGTCCCTCCACTCAGGTGGCGGGGGTCAAGAGGCGAGACGCCAAGTCGGACATCGGGGTGCCCACGCGGCGGCTCTCCGGCCAGAGTGTGACCAAGACGCAGTTGCTCTCGGGCGGTGGCAATGCTCAGCTGGCCAATGCCGGCTGCTATCCGTTACACTACGCCAGCAGCAGTGTCTCGGGAGCGGGCTACAATCGTCAGCGGATGGGCGGGGCGGGTTCCATGCAGCCCGCCAAGTCGGACCTCTTTCTGTCCTACATCCATGGCGGGGAGTACGAGCGGCCGTACATCTACAACTACAAGATGCCGCAGATGCCGGGCGGTGGAGGAGGGGGTCTTGGTTCGGGAACGGGTTCCCCTAAGCATCCCACGGCCTATCACATCTCTGGCTCCCAGACCGCAGATCCGCCGCCACCGCCAGCACCGCTATATGGCGGCACGGCGCCCGCCAACGATGTCATGTACTATCAGTTCGACAAAGGAGCCGCCGCGCCATCTTCGTCCACGTCCGCGTCGGCGTCTGCGCCCGCGCCCATTGTCCAGCAGCCGCGTCAGTCGGGCGGTCCATTAGTGTATCTGCAGCATGGCCAGAATGCGTCCACGTCGAGTGTCAACGCGGTGCAGCAAACTGTGAGTACGACCCGCGGTCCGCATGTGAGGTGAAAACCTGTCGCATGTCTTCATGTCTCGATGTCTCCATGTCTCGCTGTCCCAGCGATGTCTCTAGTTGATGTTGATGTTGATTTTGATTTTGATGTGGCTGTGTCCCCTGTGTCTCCTTGGTACTTCTTCCTTCTGCAACTTGTTTTCCCATTGTGTTCTGTGTGCCCGCATGTCTGCTACCAGTACCTGTATGTTGCTTCTGTGTTCGCTCCTTAATTGAATCCGTATTTCACGTATATCACTATCGCAGCCGAGCCAAGCACTTAGCTCACTGTACACAGCGAACGGTTTCGCGTCCTGCATGCCGTATACTTGATTTTCCTATTCGTTTTTTTTCTTTTTTCTTTTCTATGTTTTTCAGTTTTTGTATTTCTAAAGAGATATGTGTATGAGTATGTGTTTGCCTTCGTATTTGTACAAGTGTAATAAGTAACTAAAGCTTTTATGTTGATTATTTGGAAAGACTCACTGTAAACAAGGGAAAGGGAGTGGGTCAACAGTGATGACGGGAATGAATTATATATTAAATGGTATACAAAAATTTAAATAAGTTAAATTAGATTAATTTATAACATAAATGTGTCTAAAACATTGGTATTCTATAAAATATATATTAAAGAATGTTTAGTTTTTGATGATAAATCATAAAATGGCCAAAGCCTCTTCGAAATTTCAGAAGATGTAAACAAAAATCTTCAAATAAATATCCAATATTCAGTGTTTAGTCCAACTAAACCTAATTTTTGTAATTATATATATTTAAGCTTGTATTTTAAAATATTTTTTCTAGGTCAAGTCACACTTTTTACTCTCTAAATAATTCTAAAAACAAATCTCTCTATAAAAGAAAGACAACTTAACAGCACTGTCATGCCACTGTCTGGTGTCCTCATACCCTACAATCCGAAATTCTTATCTCACACACTCCCTCTCAAGAGGACTTGAGTGTGTGTTTTTTAAGCTTATCAAAAGGCTACGTCTACGTCTAGGTCTGCACAGACGAGCGTAAAGTTGCCGCTATCTCAGTTGCGGGTTACTGGGAAATTTAATTAACTTAAATTTAAGGCGTGGGAAAGCCACTCGAGGGAGTCTCTGGCATTCATTCGGATTCCCTTGGAATAGTTGAGCGAATCTTTGGCAATAAACATATTCCCATATACCGGGAACTTTTGCCAAACTCAAAAGTATGCTATGCTAGAACTCTTGAGTGCAAAAGTTTGCCCAATTTCACGCATGCCTAATTAACAACTGAAATATTCCAACTAATTTCTGTTTGGAGCACAAATAAATTACCCAAAAATAAAAGGCCATAAAGACCCAGTTCAAGACAAAAGGCAAAGCTAGGGGAGAGAGAGAATAAATAATAAGCAACTATTTGCGCTACATTATCCAAGTTTATATAACAGACAGGACCAGGACGAGGTCCTCGTCCCTCCTAGGACTGCCCAAGCAAATAATTTCAACTAAAGTTGATGGCACGAATTTCGCCGCTACCAAAGCACAAATACTTACAATTCTAAAATAAATTCTGTGCCAGCTTCCATCCCGGGTCACACACACGCATGTGTGTGTGCGAAAATACTTACACCACACGCATATGTGTGTGTGTGTGTGTGGCCCAAATGGCCTCGGGAGCCAGCCAGAGAGTACATAGAAACATTTTCGAAATGTTTGGCATAATTTTGCTATAAAATAAATTTTGCAAAATTGTTTTTCCTAAGCCGGGAAGCAGCTTAGCGAGGAGCGAGGGCCAAGACAACGACCAGGACAACGACAGCCTCGGCTTCGGCTACGGCCACGGCAACAACTTCAGCAGAAATGGCAGCAAAAGCAACGACATCAGCAAGGACATCAAATAAAACAAGCAAATCAAAAATTATGACAGCACAGCAAGGGGCAAGGCAAGTCGAAGGAACATGCCGAACACGGCATCCTGGGACAGGCAATAGGTCCACTTAAAAAAAAAAGGACAGATACAAGATAGTTTTTAACAAAATTAATTTAATTTATAGGCAATTTTGGGGCTTTTTGTGAAGAATATTTCACTTAAAAGAAGTTCTGAGAAACTTTCTAAAAGAATTTTTAAGTTTAAAGGAAATATTAAAAATTCACAGGCTATATTTTCATTTTGAAAATGTCTAGAAAATTGTTGAAAAATTTTGTTTGTCAATTTATTCACAAAACAAAAGATTTAAGGATAGAAACTCTATAAACAAAATTAAATTTTTAGTTTCAAGAGGAAGGGCCAGTCTGGGATATCCTTTATCTCTATATTAAGTCTCAAAGCTGGTAAAAACTTTACAAAAAACCCTGACCATTAACCTTAAGCATTTTCTCAGAGTGCCTGAGAATATGGGATCGGGGACACCATCTTGGCCAGGCCAAAAGTGGCAAAGTGCGCAGCCAGCGGCCAAGAGACAAACGCCAATGCTGACAACCCTCAAACGGTGGGCGGAGGTCCGTGGGTGTGGCATGTCCTTGCCTCTCCCCCCAAAAAAGCAGTTAAGTCAATAAATTTACTGATTTAATGTGGCAAAAGTTTCGATTGTTGTTGTCTCTGTTGCCATTTGTGCTGTGTGTTGTTTCAAGGGTTAGCACTGCCCGGCGGCGAAGGACTCTACACAGACCAGGTCCAGTAACAGGGTTCGTCCTCGTGTAAAACGCCTGCAGTTGTTATTATATCCATTGTCCTTCCGACTGTTTTGTGTTATAGCCGCCTGGGGGGAACACCCACACACACACACCACACTTGGCCAAATCCTAACAAATGCTAGATTAACACAATTGGTAAGCAATAAAGGCAACAAACTTATAGGGCTTTAAGCGATGTACTTATTGGCAGTAAGCTGTTGGGTAATTCGCAAACAGCATTTCAATTTAAGGAATTCGATTTGAAATCTCCTCAAATTAACAAATTTCCCATTGATTTCACATTAATCCCCTTAGCAAAGGTTAAAGGTTTAAGGGCTTGTCATAATATTATGACAGCCTTGGTCAACACCATGCAATTTTAAATTTAGAAAACAATGCCCCGGGAAAACAATGACCGCAGCTGAATTTTCCATAACTCGCAGAGGTCATAAAAAATGCGAAATTGCCAATTGATTTATTGGCATAAAACACATTTTTTCACCATCAAATAGTGCGGAAAATGTAAAAAGCGCTCAACAAAGGGTGAACTTTAAACAAATACTCCTTTATTTGCGCTGCATCCGTGTATGATTTAATTATTCATCATGTCGGCAATTGAAAAGTACTAGACTAGAGCGGAAGGGGGCGGCGGCCCAGCCACGCCCACTCACATCCTTCTTTTTTTTACGACTCTAAACGCCCCTTTGTCTTTTGACCTGCGGGCGGCATATGTCGCTTTTCCGCCATATTTTTATGCATTTTTATTTAAAATGTTTTATGCATATCGAGGGGGAGAGTTTGGAGTGGGGAAAATGTGCGGAAAATGGGGTGGAAAAAAGCGTTGTCTGTTGAAAATAAAACTGAGATAACTAAACAGATCGCGTGGTAGTGGTAGGTTGCAGGGTAATAATTATCCTTGATGGTGACAGTCACTAGTCGAGGTCCCTGACATTGGATGCCTGTCCTTTTTGCCTTGAACCCGCGTGTTAATGAACGGGGCGTTTGACACACGGCCACATTTATGCCAGACAATTTGATGCATTAGCGTGTGTGAGTATCTGTGTGTGTGTTAGCCATGGGCGTGTTTGCCCAATTAACACACACACACACACACACACGCATAGATACAGGGGCAAGACAAGGGGCACGCCCATGAGCGGGGGCCAAGAAAATTAATTAAATTCCTCTCTGGCTTCGACTAACGTTCGCCAAGTTTGTTTATGCAATCTTGTACGTGTTTCCATTAGGCTACAATTCAAAGTTCATTATTGAATGGAAATGGGCATGTCTCGGGCCCACACAAGAGGCATAAAAGATAAACTTCTCTTTTACGGCAACAAATACGATTTTCAAGTTGAATGCAATTTTAATTAATAGAAAATCAAACAAACTTGTGAGGCCCAGACGGTTCCAGATCCAAATTTATATATACATTTATATACAAAACAAACTTGTGCTCGGCAAACTTGTGCCATAGTTGGCTACAAAAAGCATAAGCCGCCAGCACACACAAAGGCCTTGAGCTTAAGTGAGTGAAGGATGCCAACGACTACCTCTTCGAGTGTGTTTGTGCACCTTTCTGATTTCATTTACAAATGAATCCCGCCACTGGCCGGCAGCCATCTTACCCCACTTCCGGTCCCCGTCTTTGAGTGCCCTCTGTGTGTTTGTGTGTGTGTGTGTTGACTTTTGGCAAAGAACTCGCCATCATAAAGGCATCAAATGTGCTACAAACGAACGTGTCTTGGGCCAAATTGAATGAGCTTTTAAGTGTATTGAGATCGAGAGACAGAGCCAAGTCGTATTCAATGCGATTAGTTACCGCACATGTCTGCCACTTGAATGGCTTAATGCTTGGCTTAAATGCAAATCGAGGTGAGCTTTTATTTATTAGAGATTTTTAAATGATTGAGGCTTAAGGAAATGTAGGGGGATTATCGAGGAAAAATAAAATGTATGTGGGTTTATCGGGGGAAAAAGGGTTTCCTTAAATTTGAAATTAAAAATAGTGTGTTTTTATAATAAATAGACCTTTTTTAGTTTTATATTAGCTGATAGAGGCTTACTAATAATAATTAGAGGAAAACTGTTAAGTTTTACTTAAAATCGAAACAGTTTAAGGTACCAGAACTATTCCTTTTGATTCCTTTGAACTTTAAATTAAACATACATATTAATATCATTATTAGTACAAGAAAATGCAAAATATGATGATATAATAATATTAAAAGTATTATTCGCTATAAAAACCTATTTTATTTTATTTATAGTGAGAGAAAAACCTTATTACCTCTAGTAGAAGCAATAAAAATCAATTTAAAAAGTAATAATCAAGT